ATCTGATATCAGAGGAATTCTACCAACAGATCCAGGAACAGCTCCAACATTCAGCTCTACAGAACCCGACCTGCTGGACCAGACTGACGTTCCTCAGCAGAGGAACCAGCAGCAGGACTTCAGCTTGGTTCTGAGGCACTGATCCTACACGCTGGAGTTTATTCAGCTTTAAACGCAGCTGCAGCATCATCCTGAGTTATTAATGTGATGAATGGGCTGTTTTATGGGGAACTGGACTCGTGTTCATGTTTCTGTTCTAACGGGACCGGTTCTGGAGCTGAGGATCGGCTCTCCGGCTCTCAGGTCTTTGTCTGGGCTGTGACGTTTCACTGAACCACATCTGGTTTCCGTCGTCCAGCTCCCTTCCTGCCGCCGCCCTTCTTCCTCCCTCCAGCTCTCTCAATTTCCCTTCAATTTCCCAGCTCGGTGTTTTCCTTTGTCTCCCGGCTCCCGGGAGTGAAGGAACGAGGAGGGAATAGAGCGTTCAGAGGAGGCTGGCTTCACGCTACGCTGCACAATATGAGCCGCTGAACTGGATTTAACTGTAATTTTTAAAAGCAATTTACTGTTAGCGCACAGATTTTCTCTGTTTTGGTAAAATGCTGATAACATCCAGTAAAATCACAGGAAAACGTTTTAATTTACATGGTGAGCACAAAACAAACAGCTCATATATATGTGGGAGTGTGTGTATAGATATATATACATACGTATAGATATACAGATATATAATGTTCACATCAAAAATCTGTATTTTAGGTATTGTGATGATTCGAGATGGAATGAAATGTGGATATCTGGGCTGAGCTTCAGCAAATATGTTTATTGTTTTTAAGTCGATGGATGGATGGATGGATGGATGGATGGATGGATGGATGGTGTGATAGATGGATGGATGGATGGTGTAATAGATGGATGGATGGATGGTGTAATAGATGGATGGATGGATGGATGGTGTAATAGATGGATGGATTGATGGATGGTGCAATAGATGGATGGATGGATGGATGGTGCAATAGATGGATGGATGGATGGATGGTGTAATAGATGGATGATGGATGGTGCAAT